CAACAAAAAAAAAAAAAAAAAAAAAAAAAAAAAACTGGCAAAAAAAAGAAAACAGGGGCAGAGATAGAAAAACCAGAAGAGTGAGATATTGTAGAAACTCAAACCAGAGTTTTTTCAGTTAAAAGAAGAGATAAACTCTTTTAGATGCTTTCTAAGGGGTCTACAAAGTTGAGATTGAAAAGTTCCTATTGAACTTAGCACTGAGGAGATTACTGATAATCACAGGAAGTGCATTGTGGGTAGAATGAGGAGACAAGCCAGATGGAAGTGTTTAAGAAAATGGGGTCAGTGAATGTAAACAACTCTTTCGCGTAGTTTGGCTGTGAAAATAGAGATAAGTTAGGGCAATAGTTTACTTGAGAGGAAGGTTAAGAAGTCTTTCTTGTTTTTCTTCTGTAAAGATGACTCAAAAATGATTAAATGTTAATGAAAATTTTGGTATTCTGTAGTGGAAGGTTTCTGAGAAAACCTGAGAGACTGGGGTCCAGAAACAAGAAGTTGGAGGAGAAACATTGACTCTATCAATTATATAATGCGAAGATGTGGCAAATGCAAGTAGGTTTCTACATTTCACAGTGATGCCATTGTCTGCTGGCTTCTATTTTCTCTGTGAAGTAAGAGGCACAGCTACTTGCAAAGACTGAGAAGGAGCATTAAGAGGGACGTGTAAAGATAATAAAGTTTTTATATTTTCTTTTGGAAACAGGTAGAGTTATGTAAACCCAGCAGACTTATATAAACACAGTAGAGTTATGTAAACCCAGTAGGGTAGAGGAGCAACATCATACAGCACTGGATATTTGTGATCATGAATAATCCTATCTGCTCTACTGTGCATGCAATTTTTAGCAACAGTGGCTGGCTACTCAGGGGCAGACATGACATGGAGAGAGACAATGGTTGGGTTTATAAATCAGTTGGAAGTTTTATAAATAACCACCATTCAAGAAAAGACAAGAAAGAGAGTTTGGAGTTTTAAGAAAATTTGTTGAAATAGTTTACCATGGAATCTAAACTGAATAAGGATAGAAGTAAAGAAAGGAGAGGAGTGTAACTAGGCATAGCTATGTACCTCACTGACCTAGATTTGCCAATGGAGTTGAAGGGCTATAGAGATAGAATTAATTCAACAGCAGCATTGGAAGAAGAAACTGTGAGAACTGTACCAATTTTTTGTTTACTGGGATGGTAAAATGATACTCTTTCTAAACCTGAGTAACTATAATATCAAGCACACACTTTAGGTATTTTTTGCATTTCATTTCTACAGGACTTGCAAGTGAGGTGATCAAAAACCAGTTTTAGACTCTTAAACTTAGTATTAAAAATGAGAAGCCCGAGAGATAGTCTGCTTATGGAGGAAGTTGGAGTATTTCCCCAGTGCCCCCACCCCCTGCCACTTGTAACATCACAGACAGAAGAAGGGAAGAGTCTCCTACTTAGCAAGGTGAGATAGATATTAAGAAACTACTACTTAGAGAACTTGATATCTACCACCCTAGACTTAGAAAAGGTCAGTGGATTATTGGTTGACACATTCTTGAAAAACTAGAAAGTAAAAAGTCATGGCTGAATTTCCTTACCTTAATCAAGTTTCAACTGCACTTTCACTGAGAACAGGGCAGAGGTGCCTGTTTCCCTTGGACCATATGTAGGAAACATGTGGAAGGAGTGTCATTTGGGATCATTTAAAAGGCAACTTCTTCCAACAGGGATTTTTGACATCATAAGTGGATCTGAACATAAAGAAACGAGGTTGGCTATTACATGCAGACACCATGAGTATGTCATACGACAGCAGGCAGAAGATGTGCATTACCTCCATAGAAACAACAACAATCTGATGTTCTTATTTGGGTATGGGAGTCTCATAAAATCTCATAAACTTGCTCACCAGATGGAGTCATTTCAAACACTCACCATGCCTGGAAAGTACTAATGCCATTTTTAAAATTAATACACAGTCAAATAAGACCTCTCCTAATCCTTACCACTCCTCGCTGATCCTGTTCTTCCCTTGACATTCCAAATGTTGAAAATTTAGAAACTGAGTGTAGCAAGTGGTGAGAAGAATTGGAAGTAGGAGAGAGAGAAAGCCAAATTCATAAACCTCCTTCCCACTATGAGCTTTCAAGCAGGCCTGATCTAGGGGTTAAGAGAATGCCTAACTTTAAAATTTGGGATTCTTCTTATTAAATAGGGCACTGTTTATTTCAACTGCTGAAATAAAGCTGTTATTCTGACTAAACATAACTGAAAAACTATTAATTAATTGAAGTGACCAGAAAAGTTATTGGTTCTTCTTTGAATTTCACCACAGGAATAGGAAGAATCAAACCAACAAAGTGTGTTTACAGGGTCATGGGTGAGAGAAAGAATAAACTTGCTTCTGGCTTACACCCTAGAAAATCATCTCTTAAACAAAACACTTACATTTGGCTAGTGATTCCCCAAGTGAAACCATTTCAGGATGTACCACTGTCCAAAGTGTAACTACAGGAGGGGGTGACTGAGGTGGAGCAGAACTGAAAATTGTTGGAAATGAAATAAAAAAATCAGTGAGACCAGGATATTTGAAGGGCTATTCATGAACATAGTATAGTCATTCAGTCATTGACAAGATTTGGAGTAAGGAAGATGATTATGTGCTGAGTGTAAATGTTATCTTAAATGACAGCAGTGGGTGACCAGGAGATTGGAGTATAATGGTCAAAGGGATGGTGAGGAAAAGAGATATCCAAGTTATATGATCCTTAAAGAAAAATGGATTTATTTTTGTGTGAATAGAGGATCAATGTTCTGGACGAGAGAGTAGGGGGCAAAGAGGACACCTACTTTATCTCTCAATGCTGAGGTATATGGGATTGGAAACATTCAATTTTAGGAGTTATATCCTCTGGGAACCATCCATTAACATGCGTAGGTGGGGAAATGCTTCCAAAAGAAGTTTAGGGATGTATTGACTATGTACCAGTATCAACAGAAAAATAATGAAAGGCTTTGGGAGCAGTGGCAAGAAGGGAATATATGAGGGAAGAGCTTGGTACAGGACAAGAAAGAAGGATGAGGAAATGAATGAAATTTGGTTTTTAAAAATATTTCAGTGGTTTCAGTTTAGATACATTTATTGCTACATCTCTATTGATGGAAAGATAAATGCTATATTAGTCAGCTCACATCATCATAAAAAAACACCACAGACTAAGTGGCTGAAACAACAAAAATTTATTTCTCACAGATCTGGAGACTGGATCAGGGTCTGCCAGGGTCAGTGTCTGGTGAAGCCTCTCCTGGCATTGTGGACAGCCACCTTCTTGTAGCTTTCTCCATGGCAGAGAGAGGCAGAGAGAGAAATCCTCTTATAAGGACACAATCCCATCAGACCAGGGCCACATCCTCATGACCTTAACTAGCCTTAAGTACCTTCCAAAGGCCCCATCGCCAAATACCACCACATCAGGAGTTAGAGTTTCAACATATGAATTGGTGGGGGTGGTGGGACACAAACATTCAGTCCATAACAAATCTAGGGCAGTTCTCATGGTACTTTTTTGTTGCTGTTGAACAGAACTCGGGCATGGGAACCAAATATCGAACAAAGAAGGACCACATGATATGTAAACTTATGTGTTTGTGCATTGCTTACTCTTCTACTATTGGTGGACTGACAACAATCACTGGTACCTCCACCAACCTGATCTTTGCTGAGCATTTCAATACGTAAGTAACCTTATTGGATTGGTGTTTTAATATATGGGGAGCACACAAATTATAAAAATTATTCTTACCTGATTCAGAGGATTCAAGTACAGAGATGTCATTTTAACTCTCCTTTGTTTCCCTTCAGGAAATCTATAGGTCTACAGACCTTCCTTTGTACTGAGAGTTAAATATTCAGGGCATAGTGAATTAACTTGTGCCAACAGATTTCACAAGTCAGCTCAGAGGATATAACTCTTGGCTGACCACTCTAAACAAACAGGAGAAACGTTTTTCATTGAAAACAATACCACAAATGGTAGTTAACTAAAGTGAAAGGAATTATTTTGTTGGGACAATTTGTGTAGAGTTTGGGGACCAATATTTGAACTTAAATAATGAATGGTGAACAGAGTTATTAATTACAGAAGTCTTGGCTTTGAAATTCAAAAAAGAGTTGAAAGATTGAACAATTACAATAAATGTCAGTAATAGTCTACAAACAGATATATGACTCAATATGTTTGCAACTATGATGATAATTCAATGCAAAAATGGAGAATCTGTGGACACAACAGGTAGAGCACTTGGGTTAAAAAATCCTCAATTAGCAGGTACTTACATTGTGAGTTACTTGACTTATTTATTTTTTTGAGACAGAGTCTCACCCTGTCACCCAGGCTGGAGGACACTGGTGCAATCTCAGCTCACTGCAATTTCACCTCCTGGGTACAAGCAATTGTCGTGCCTCAGCCTCCCTGGTAGCTGGGATTTTAGATGATCCCAGCTAATTTTGGGATGCCTCGCTAATTTTTAGAAGACATGGGATTTTGCCATGCTGGCCAGGCTGGTCTCAAACTCCTGGCCTCAAACAATTTACCCGCCTTATCCTCCCAAAGTGCTGGGATTATAGGCATGAGCCACTGCACCCAGCCACATTGAGAATTTAACAACAACAAAAAGGTACATGATTCTCCCAAGACTTAATTTTTTTCATATGTAAAATAGTCACAGTTTATAGGTTTATTGTGAGAATTAAATGAAGTAAACTATGTAAAAATATTTTGCGCTATGTAAGTATCATTGAAACAATAGTATGAAAGTCCATGGTGTCATATGAGCGCTCAGACTGGTTCCACTAAAAGAACAGATAATAATCAGAATTCTAAGAAGATGGGCAGGATTGAGAAAGCCTAGGAACAGGAAGTGGGTTCACAGAAAAAATAGAGCTCAGAGACAGGAAAACTACTCTCTGAAAAGTAGATTCATAGACGTTGTGAATTTTCCGAAATTATTTGCAAAATGTTGTGCCTGAATAGATTCTCTAAGAAATCCATGACTCAAAGAATGTCAATCTCCATTCTAGAAAGAATGGGTGTTTGTGTTCAAGGAACACTGGTATGGAAGTTTAGGGTCAATATTACACAGACCTCTACGAATATTGTTTCTACGAATACACATCCATCATATATACTCCAATTACTGAGTTAGAAAGAAACCTTTAAAAGACTTTTGGTTTATAAATAAGAGACTTCTGAAATTCGCAGTACCAGAAAGTGTTTATCCAATGAATCCTCTAATTCAAGACAGGAAATGTACTTGATCTCTTTTTGAAAATGACTTATAACATTTCTCATGAATTCTCCAAGGGAAGAAATTCCACATTGCAGTTCCCCTCTGTGAATTTCTTTTTCTAACATCTAGACCAAATTCTTATGCTTCATCTTGGTTGATATTAGAGAACTGCTGGTTTCCATCATTCCCATGAAATTATTTGATACAGTCAAAATAATTCATATTGAGGTTATTTGGTCTTATGATCTTCCAGAATATATCAACCAAAGTTTGTTTTAACTTTTACTTATTGAATGCACTAATCCATTTGTAATGACAGATTAAGAGTATTATAGCATTTTGAGCAAAATGTTTTAGCTATTTTCACTAGTTGTCTAATCTTCTGTTTCTCCTAATCATGGAGATTTGGTCAAAAACTCCTTTAAATTTAGAGAGTGCTTAAAATATACTTTGAAACATAATGATGCTTTTCTCCAAAATGTTGTCTTGTCTTTAGGAATTATATGCAAACTGAAAAAAATTCAAAGAGTCCTTTTATGATATAAAATACTGGAATAGAAGGGAAAATAACCTTATATGAAAAAATATAATACACTATAATGTATGTAAATTATCTGGCATGAGCTCAATACGTCTCTCTACCTTCTCACCTATAGGTCAAAAAACAAATGTTTCTAGGTTTAAACAAGTGAGATATTCATTGAAATTTTGCTTAGATGTTGGCCCTACAAAACATAGTAGCATCTCAAGGCAATAAAAAAAATGAATGTATTAAATTTCATTGGAAAATATTATAGAAGCTTAAAATTCATGTGTGTATGTGTGTGTGTGTGTACTTTTTCAAATGTTTGGAGCTGCAGAGAAATAGCTCTTTATCTACATATCCACTACAATAATGTCATCTTTTAGAGGAATACCAATGATCCTTTTGAACAATTTCATTTGGATCCCTCCCAGCTCCAAAGGATGCATAAAACTTCAGAGTTAATGGCTTCATATCACTGACATTTAGAGGAAGGTGTCATCTTACAAATAAACTTAGAGGAAGCAATCATGTAACATATTTTGAAGTCTTATATTTTTATTCTTTTGATATACATGTAATGTTTTACATACAATCTCTTTGTATGTAATGTGTATATGTGATAATATTTTCAATGTATTTTGTATTTTTTTACATAAAGGAAACAAAAACAATGAATTCTGAGAAAGCTAAAAGTTATTCAATACAAATAAAAACAGACTTCCATTCATTTATTCAATTAACAAACATTTCTTGAGAATTGGCAATGTGCAATGCACGGTTTTGCATTGTATTGTAGAATGCAAGAAATAAAACCTGTCAGGAAGAATATTCATCTGGTTGTCTAGACAAAACATACATATGAGAAAAAAACCACTAAAATGTAAAAACCTAGAAACATTTGTTTTTTGACCTATAGGTGAGAAGGTAGAGAGACGTATTGAGCTCATGCCAGATAATTTACATACATTATAGTGTACCTATATCCTACATCCTTTCTATGAAGGTGGTATATAGTCAATGATTAAAAGCATATGCTCAGGAGTTGAAATGTCTGTGTTCAAATCCCAGTTTTTTCATTCACCAGCTGGGTGACTTTGGACAATTATTAAGCTCTCAAAGCCTGTTGCCCTTCCAAACAAATGAGGAAAATAATATGATATCTCTCATAGAGGACTGTTTTGAGTTTTGCATAAAATAAGTAGCACTTAGTGCCTAGCACAAAGCATGGGCTCAATAAATGTTGGTTGGCCAGGTGCAGTGGCTCACACTTATAATCCCAGCACTTTGGGAGGCCAAGGTGGGTAGATGGCTTAAGTTCAGAAGTTCAATTTGAGCCTGGACAACATAGAAAAACCCTGTATCTACAAAACATGCAAAAGTTCGCCAGTATGGTGATGTATACCTGTAGTCCTAGCTACTTGGGAGGCTTAGGTGGGAGGATGGCTTGAGCCCAGGAGATGAAAGTTGCAATAAGCTGAGATTGCACCACTGCACTCCAGCCCAGGTGACAGAGTGAGAACCTGTCTCAAAATAAAATAAATAAATGTTGGTTATCATAACTACTGGAGTTGAGAAAGTTGAGGTTCGGCTTAGCAGATTGAAGACCAAAACCAAAGGCTGCCTCCTTAAAATTTACCTTCCTGGAAACATCACAGAAGGGTGTCCTAAAAAAGGGCTGTACCTGTTTGCCACATACCTTGGTTACTACAGAAAATGTGTCCATATGACTTGGAATAATCTTAAAAGAGGTAAATGCCACATTTATGGATAAAAGGAATGAAAATAGTTCATTAAATCAAAGTACCAAAAAGTCTGCAATGGGTATTTTAGGGAGGAGTGACATAGTCTATGCATGTTTTGCATCGTTTACAGTATGCAGATTGGCACCATAGGAGTCTGGAGACAGAAAACCAATTAGGAGTCTGTGATCAAAGTGCCGACAATGAAAGGCAGAACTAGGCTAGTTGTGAAGTGATAGGAGGATTTGGACTCAAGACACTGCAAAATCAGAAGGGTGTGAATAATTAGTTATGAGGATTTAAGGGTAAAGGAGGGCTTAGGGCAACTCTGGGGACTTTTGCCCATAAGGTCAGAGAGATAGTGATGACATGAACTTCTTGAGAAGACATGGGAAAGCTCAGGTTCCCAGGAGACATCATTAAGTTTGAATTTGGATACATTGAAATGCCTGGTGTGAACCTATCCACAAAGTGACCTTCAGCAATCATTTGCAAATGCCTTATTTGAGTTAGTTATAAATTTGAGTATCTATATAGGCAAATATTGAATTTTTGAGCATGAAAATGGTCACATATGAAAACATCTTAAAAGGATTGAGACATGGATAGACAAGGAAGAGGATGAGCAAAGTTAATTGATGTAGGAGAGGAATCAGAAGTATATGGTACTTTGAAAGCCAGAAGACCATTTTCAAAATGGATGATGAGTCAGCGATTGTACAGTGATAGAAGAGAGGCATGTAGGATGATGGCTGATGTTTATAAAGTATGAAATATTTCTGACATTCTTATGCTTAGAATCTGGTAGTAGCCGTGGCACCTAAATTCTTAAATTTCTTAGCTCCTCTATTGTTAATTCACCATTAGCTTTAATAAATCCTTGCAACAGGGCATTCTGGAAATAGTCTCTGTTCTATTACCTCTTGTTTTAATTATACAAATTCATTACATTTTTCCATAAGGAAAATCCTATTTGCTTAATGCTCTCTACCTGATTGTTATCCCTTTTTGCTCCACTGATACACTCTTCCAGTCACCGACTAATATTTTCTAACACTACTGTTAATAAATACTATCCTGTAATTAAGCTATTACTTCCTACTTTGGTTCTTGAAAAATCAGCCATTTTGTCCCATTGAACTCATCGCTGTAGTTGCCCCAAAACCACAGCAGGGGAACTT